AAAAATAGCTTTCATCATATGGTTTTCAATTATCCATTTATATTTTTGATTTTCAATTACTTGATTTATAATTTTTAGTTTCAAATTAAGTTATTTAAAAAAGAGATTTATATCCAATAAATGTTAATGGTATATATATATATATATATATATATATATATATATATATATATATATATATATATACTTTATTTTTTTTTTAATTTTTTTTTAAATATGTGTGCCTATATCAATAACCAATTTTGGAGGGAAATTTCCCTCAAAAAAACATAAAAGTATCTTGCTAAACAATTTTACCTACACATGTTAATTGTTGATTTCTGTAAAAAAAATATTAAGAAATATCAACACATATAGATAATATATGTAGGTATTTGATTTGCCTAATATATTTACCTACACATAAAATATGTGAAGGTATTTTATTTTCTAGTTATTTATGAATAAGAACTATCTAATATATTTACCTACACATAAAATATGTGTATGTATTTGATTTGCCATGTCATTTATGAAATAATAATAACAATTGTCTAATATATTTACCTACATATAAAATATGTGTAGGTATTTGATTTACCATGTCATTTGTGAAATAATAATAAGGGTAAATTACACGATTCGTCCCTACCGTAAGTGTCAAATTGCACATTGAGTTCCTATTTTCAAAAATTAACTCGGAAAGTCTCTCATTTGTTTAAAATTTTCACGTTTCATCCCTAATTTCGTTAGCTAGACATAAAAAGACGATTTTTCCCTTATCTTTATCTTTTTGATTTATTTTTATTTGTTAGTTATATTTAATTAATTAAATATTTATTTGTTTATTTAAAGTAATGGACCCCACCACGTATACCCTCTTTATCTCTTTATCTCTTCATTAGAGCACGAATCAATTAGAAGTCTGTGTTCTCTTTGTCGCCGGTGACTGTGAATCTCATTTTTCCGACTTAATGAGAAAAAGGAGATTGATGAGAATGAGGAAGGAGCACCATGAATCTCATTTTTCTTGCTTAGGTGTTGCAATACATACAATGGAGGAGGATATGCATCTAGTGACCTCCACTCTCCAGCCAGCCATTGACCTTCATCTCCGACTACCTACCATCACCTCCAAGCACCTACCAGCGCTCACATCTACTAAACATCAAAGAAGATGAAGGTTTCCGACCAGTTTTAGCTTCCACAACCCTTTGCCTCTAGCAACCACCACCATTTGCCTCCAACACCCACCTGTAAAGAGCCCCAAACCAAACCAAAATAAAAAAAAGAAACTTGAAATTGGTTCCAGAAAATAAAATCGAAACTGGTTCCAGAAACTAAAATCAAAATCAAAATCCTACGTATGGTGGTTGTCTTCTTCTCCGGAAATCACTTCCATAAAAAACAAAGGAGCTTTCAAAGAAATCAGCGAGAACAGGAGACTCAATGCAAAAAAAGCTCCACCCGAACCCATCTTGTTCCACTCTTCCTTCGTCTTCTTCGACCACTCTACGAGTTGCAGGTATGGTGGTGGCATCGTTTTAGCGACGTTGTTGGAGGCGTTCAGATCTGATACATGGAGGTGAAGATTTGAAGAGATGATGAAGACCTCAGATCTGATACAGGGTTGTGGATGCAAGTGATAAAAGAAAGGGGGAGGAGAAAGATAAAGGGAAAGAGAATAATATCAGTTTTGTGATGGTTGTTTCCGGCAGGAGAAGCGATGTGCAGGTGGAGTGAACCGATGGCGGTGGTGGCTCCAACAACCCATTTCTCTCTAGCTTCGGGGACCCATGTGAAGGAGATGAACCAACTGGGATTGAATGGTGTGGGTAGGATTAGGGTAGATGGTAAGTGTTTGGGGGTGGTGGGCCCATTTTTTGTTTTCTAGATTTTTTATTTTTCTTTTAAATAGTTAATAACAAACAAGTCATAAAATATATCAAAAAAGAAATAAAAAGGGTAAAATAGACATTTTATGTCTATCAGGGATGGTCCGAGTTAAAAAAATACATTACAGGGACGGTCCGAGTTAATTTTTGAAAATAGGGACTAAACACGCTTTTTGGCACCTGCACGAGGGACGATTGGTGTAATTTACCCTAATAATAATAATAACAAGGGTAAATTACACCATTGGTCCCTCGTGCATATGCCAAAATGCATGTTTAATCCCTATTTTCTAAAATTAACTCGGACGGTCCCTGGTTTTGTTTTTTCTTGCATGCTAAGTCCCTATTGGCATAAAATGACTATTTTGCCCTTAAAATCTTCTTTTTCAATTTTATTTTGTTTATTTATCATTTTTAGATTAAAAAAAAAAAAGAAAAATAAAATAAATATCTACACCCCCAACCTATCCTTCCCCTTCACTTCCCCAGCTCGTCTCCCTCCTTCTTACCACTTCTTCCTCTATATCGATCCTATCACTAACATCGGTAAAGAACATCACCATCGGTCAACACTAACACCGCCACTGGTCGATGCCATCACCACCATAAATCTTCTTCATAAACTTCCCTTCTGAAACCTATTTTAAACCATATCTGTTGCTTGATTTTCAGATATGACAATGGAGTTTGAGGGGTTAAAACAGGAGCAGAAACCACAAGAAGATGAGATTTTAGGTATGAACAAAAGACTTGAGGCGACAAGGCAACAACCAGAACAAATTATGGTGGTTCTTTAAAGTAACTATTAGAATTATTAGAAGAAATCTTTGATATCAAAATCCAAGCAAAAGAAACTGGTGATGGAGATGAAGAAATCGACGCATTGATAGCGTCGTCTTGAATTACTTTCTCGATATCTTCTACATGTGATGGCGATGAAGGCTGGAATCAGAGCAAGAAGGTTCATCGAGCATTAGAAGTTAAACCCTAGGCAGCGACGACAGAGATATCCGCAAAATCTCGGCACCAGAAAACCATATGGGATCTTTACAGTTTTGTGTAGCTTAAGTTATAGCTTAGATTTTGAAAACGAAACTAAAATTATTGCCGGAGAAGACGACCACCCGACGATGAGCACGAGCAACACACTAAACTGGGTAGATGGGTTGGGTAAGTGAAGGGGGAGGAGTGGTGATGAATATTCCGGTGATGTTGTGGGGAGAGAGAGAGAGAGAGAGAGAGAGAGAGATTTAAAAAGGAGAGGACATATTTTTTTAATTAAAAATAATAATAATAACATTAAATTAATTGGAAAAGAAATAGACAAAGGGTATTATGGTCATTTTAGATCTGTCAAAGACTAGATGCACAACAAAAATGTATATCAGGGACGAAAAGTGCAAGTTTTATGCAAACAAGGGACGGTCCGAGTTAATTTTTAAAAATAGGGACTAAACAAGCTTTTTGGCATGTACACGAGGGACGATTGGTGTAAATTACCCTAATAACAATTGCCTAATACATTTACCTACACATAAATATATAGATATATAGATGTTATGTGTTGATATTTACTTTGCCACGTCATTTATTTAAATATTATATATTATTATTAGTTAATTTATTTATCTACATATGTGTGAAATAAAATTATGTGTTGGTAATATCAATTGAAGCACCTACACATCGATTTCATCTATATATATGTGTAAGCATATTACCTACACATAAGGAAAGTTTTTAATATGTGTGGGTAATTTCACATTCCGTAAATCGCCAATTTTAGAGGGAAACGTTTCCCCCCAAATTAAATGTTAATATTGGTAATTCTCTACACATATTAAGTGTCGTCCGATAGGAAAAACTATATGTTTAATTACCCACACATATGCAAAATATGTGTAGATATTTACTTACACATAACATATGTAGGTAATTTATGTGTAGGTAAAGACCCTAATTTCTTGTAGTGATATATACCCATGTAAATGATAATCAACAAAAGCTTAAAAATAAATTCTCGACAACATTGCAATCTTCTCTAATAAATGAAGGGTTTTTTTTTTTTTATCACTTGTCACACTCTCATTCATTTTGCCACATGTCATTTTGTGGTTATTTTAAATTAATTTTTATTCCATATGTAATTTTATGGTTTTCCTATTTTATTAAATTTCATATGGTATTTAAATTTAATAATAAATGTATATCAATTTCATTAATGGACTTTCCTTATAATTTCAAAATTTTAAAATAAAATCTTATTAATTTGCTTTAATTATTTTATCTAAATGATTTGTTTAAATTTAAAACAGAGAAAAAAACACTTTAATTTTAGTAATTCAATATTTTTTTTATTTTTCTTATAAATTCAAAATTTTCAAATGTTTATACATATTTAATTGTTTTAATAGTGTAAAAATAAACGCAACATATTGAAACCATTTAAAATTCAAATGAGTTATGATGAAACTGACCATATGGTAAAACACCTAAACTTATTTATATTTTGATGCTGCAAAAACACAAATTTTTTGAAAGCTAATTATGTCACAAAGAAACAATTTTACTTGTTGGTCCAAGACTAATCCCTAAAGTAAAGTTCATGATTGAATATCACTTTGTTAGTGAAAAATTATATATCCGCTGCTCTTATGTTTATACTTTGTTAGAATATGACGTAATATTAGAAATTTAAGAACAGTAAAAATGTCTTTATTCTAAACTACTGATTATGGTGAGTTGATGAGACGTATTAATTGGGCATAAAAAGGAAACCACTCGAAACTTTCCAAGTCATATTTTGGTGCTTGATGATGTTATTGGTCAATAAGGAGAAATTTAGAAAATTGATAATTTGTCTATAGTTTTGGCGTAAAGATTGGGGCAAGTTGAGTCTTTGAGTGTGACAGCTTATTAACTTCGTCAAGATAACACATAGAGGTACAAGATATATGTGTGTGCATGCATAGTCTCAAGAACACAGGTGATATATATATATATATATATATATATATATATATATATATATATATATATATATATATATATATATATATATATATATATATATATATATATATATATATATAGTAATTAGTGTCTAACTACCTTTTTCTATTTGAAATGATTATCGTATTCTTTTTTGCCTTCCTTCTTCTCTCATGTCTACCTTTCCTTCACTCTGCTACAAACCACAACACTTCCATTCCAATCTGCCCAAAAAGTTTCACTTGCCCAAATTTGGAACCATTTAGTTACCCGTTTTATAACGCCAATGACACAAAGTGTGGGTTGATTAAGGTCAATTGTACTTCAAATGGTACAAATCTGGAATTCAGCGGAGATTTATATGAGGTTGGCGGCAACTATAGATCTTATTCTCAACCATCCGTCTTGGTCCTTGTCCATAACAAAAAGTTTGAAAAACTTGTAAATGATAAAAAGTGTGAGGCACTTGAGTATAATTTCACTTCTCCATTTCCTTTTTTGTATTCTACTAAGATCGAACCCTTAATCAATGTCTACAAATGCACCAACAATACCAATCATGCTGAGGAAATGGTTGCTTATTTTAACCCATCTACTTACAATAGATACAGCAAATGCAAACCATACAATTTCTATTATAAGTATAACATAAGTGATACAACATTTCCAAGTGACCTACCACCTACATGTGAAGTAATACGGTTACCTGTGAAACTGCAATATAATACCACTAGAGTACCCGACAAAACCAACGTATTTTCCGTTCTCGGTTTTCAATTCTCTATTAGATTTGAATTATCAAGTTCCTGCAATAAATGTCGCAACTAAGACGGACAGTGTCATGCCCCCAATGGACAGTTTCAGTGTTTAGGCGCCACAAAAGGTACTTACACCTTTTTTTTCCCTCTTACTTTGCTCCTTATTTTGGGGTACACCGAAAATGATATGTCTAGTTTATTCTTGAAATTAGTTTTCCTGTCTTATCTTTTGTTGTGCAGTTGATGAGGCAAAAAAACGACACAGAAAACAGAAACAGATTCTAGGTAACACACCTCTTTGATCGAATGCATGCACACACATGATGCTTAATTAAAGATATTAACCATGCATCATATGTTTTTGCCACAGAAATTTTTTTAACCCAGACGACATGATGCCCAATCGGTTAATTACAGTAGCGTCTCTTAATTTCATTTACTTCAGATTCAAAATGAGTGATGGCTTAAGGCAGTCATATTATTTTAAAGATGCTTAACGAATGCATAACATTATGGGAAGCATTCATACACACATCACTCAATGATCTAATTTAAGTCGCATGTATTAATTCTGTTTATTCAATCTACGTTTTCAATTTTAATAAACAATATTTAAAGACATTTTCTTTCATTGTCTGATGCAGCTGTTTGTGTAGGATTTGGGATAATGTTGATTGTGATAATCTTATGTTGCATATGGAAACTCGGATGGCGAATAAAGACAAAGAAGTATGCTAATGTGGAATCATTTCTAGAAAATCACGAATTTCTTGCGAAAAGGTACACTTATTTGCAAGTAAAGAGGATGACAAACTCATTCGAAGCCAAATTAGGACAAGGTGGATTTGGTTCGGTGTATAAAGGAGCATTAAGTAATGGAAGCCTAGTGGCCGTGAAGATCTTAAGCGAATTGAAAGGAAATGGTGAAGATTTCATAAATGAAGTTGCAAGTGTTGGCAGGACTTCCCATATAAATATCGTAAGTCTTTTGGGATTTTGCTTTGAGGGCCATCAAAAAGCTTTGATCTATGAGTTCATGCCTAATGGATCACTAGAGAAGTTCATATATAACCATGGGTTTTCGAGTAGTAGCCAACTAGGGTGGGAAAAATTGCATGAGATTGCTATTGGGATTGCCAGAGGCTTAGAATATTTGCATAGTGGTTGTAACACACGAATCTTGCATTTCGATATAAAGCCCCATAATATTCTTTTAGATAAAGATTTTTCTCCTAAGATATCCGACTTTGGCCTTGCCAAGCTATTTCCCGAGAGAAGAAGCATGATGTCCATGTCCCTTGTGAGAGGAACACCAGGTTATATAGCTCCCGAAATATTTTCAAGGAGTTTTGGGCAAGTATCCCACAAATCTGATGTTTATAGTTATGGGATGATGGTTTTGGAAATGGTTGGAGGAAGGAAAAATATTGAGGTTGGAGTTGATCACACAAGTGAAATATACTTTCCTCATTGGATATACAAAAAGGTCAAATTTAATGAAGAACTTGGACTGCATACAAGTGTGAGTGATGGAGAAAAAGAGATGGTAAGAAAAATGATTATTGTGGGCTTATGGTGCATACAAACAAATCCCTTGAACCGACCAACAATCACGAAGGCATTGGAAATGTTAGAAGGGGACTTAGAGTCGTTGGAAATCCCTCCAAAACCTTATTTGTCTTCTCCATGAAGGTTGGTTGGCTCCTCATTTACAGATTAATTACATATACCTTTGTAGTTTATTTATTGGCACTTTGAAATAACTAGGTGATGTAAGTTCTGTTAAATATGGTTAGTCCTAAATTTGTATCTATGGACTTGTGGTGCTCATTAAGCAAATACCCAAGCCTTTTGGAAATTATGGTGTTGAACAAGTCAAATACGGGGGACTGTGGTTGCGAGATATCCTATTTTTCACTTATCCTCAATCACTTAATTTTCTATGGTGTTATCGTATTGAGTTATGATTTATCTTTTTTTTTTTTACCCTAAGTAGTTTCTTATCTACATTTCAAGGACACATTTTCCATGATATGATCTTAATATGATTTCATTCACTCGTGTAAGTGCATGATAGTATTCCTAGCATACTACACCAAAATGAAAGTAACACTGACTCACTATCCCACAATAAGTGAGTCTCATTTGTCAATGAACAAGATATATACTTCTTTTTCTATATATTACTATTAAAACAATTTACACCATAATCAAAACACTAGAGTATGCAACTTCACCGATTGGAAATTAAGAACTCTAAAGACATATTATATGGGCATAAATGAGACCGACATGAAACTTTCCAAGTGATGATTTTGGTGTATGGAAGGGTTAAGGATGGATGGAGGGGAAGATTTTATGACTCAAAAGTCTTCATAGTCTTTATCGATAAGGAGAAATTACAAAAAAGTGACATAATTTCTCTATTTTTTAGACATACGTGTTGGGGCAAGTTAGTCCTTGAGTGTGAAAGCTTGTTAAATGCTAGTCACATATGGCCTCATTTAATTAGCCTGACTGTTCCAAAGACTTCCTATAGAGAACATAAAGACCAAAAATATATTTATAATGGAGTCTCAAGAAGGAATGATGGTTGCGGTTGCATGCCTCCTCTTCAAATTTCGTAATTATTCGATTTGTTTAGAAAAAAAAAATGTTAAAATTTCAAATTAAAAATCTCACCCCTCCAAAAATAAAAATTATAACCAAATTGTATATTCCACTCCTTTCGCAAACATTCTAATAACACCACATTCATAAAGGAATTTTGATATTTTACTTCCCTCTCTTTCCCAAAAACTTTAACAAAATGTGATCCCCTCTCACTTTTTTTTGCATGAAGTTGATTAGTGACTTGTTATTGTGTTGTTTCAAAGAAATGCAGGGTGATAAGTGCTAAATAGAGCAAGGACCATGAAGACTAGAGAGTCAGCGAGTCAAGTCTTGATACTTTGTCTTGATTGGTAAACTTACTAAGTCAATTTCTTGGAGTTTCAAAGGGGTTACAGATCAATGGAGGAGAAGAATTTGTGACTCGAATGTTGGTAATTTTGATAACCAATACATAAAACGCAGAAGCATAAACCTTGGACCTTTAATCTCGAATCTGATTAAAAGAAAACTTAAACATGAAATAACAATTACACACCTGATTTCATTATGATCTTCGGATCTGAAGAACTAGGGAGAGTTTTCCAGTTGATCTCAAGAACTCTCTCTAAAACCCCCCAACAATGAACCATACTAATTTCTTAGTGTATTTTCGTGTGTCTTGATTTGCTCCTCATCACATGTATTTATAGATGAATATAAACCCTAATGTGAGAGATGGAAGGGATCTTGAGGATCTTGAGTCAAACCGGGAACTCAACCCACATGGTAAGTAATATTGTATAAATTGGTCCATCAACAATTTATATTATTACCATAATAATTGTATTTAATGATATATCGTACATATTTATGAAGTGGTCCCATAATTATCCAACAATCTCCCACTAGACCACGAATATATAAATGCACGTATAACTGTATAAGCGCTTTAATGAATGTTATTATAACATTGGTATGAATGTTATTATAAAATTGGTACCCTTAAACAATCTCGTCCACTAATCATAATAGTATAGGATCAAAGTGACATTCGTTACAATTTACGTAACTAAACCTATCAATGGTCACGTATACATATATAACTAACGACATAGATTAAATGTGGTTTTAAAATCTAAATAGATTTCCGACGAGTTCCTCTTGAGATTGAAGTGAGATCAAACTTCAAATAAGTGAAACTAATATATATTTCCATTTTGCACTATTGCTTTAACATAAGGAAACTTGATGTCAATATACATTGACTTAATAGAACTTCTGTTGTTGGAATGTAACATTGTTGGCGTAACTATCACAACTTTAGTGGTCTTTCAATACCAATAATGTGTAGCCTCGTTATAATTTTCGTAACCATATTCATGGGGGATTTCAATGCAGTAAGAAGACAACAGGAGAGAACTGTTGGATTAATGTCTAAGTCCATAACTGTAATTGGTAAGACTTGACCCGACCCGGCATGGTCCATTTGGGTTGCATACCATCATGCACTTGGATAGACTAAATGAGAGAAATAAGACACTTACGGTTATTAATATATTATAAGTTCTAATATATTAATAATAAGAATAATAAGATTATTTAATTAGTATTGATCAAGAATTAATCTAGGATTAATTAAGTGATCAAAAGAAGACTAATTAAATATATGGGTTGATTGTGTAAATCATCCATACTTGTATAGTGGGCTAATGCTCCATGGATTATCTAGTTGGGCCAAAACCCATATGATGCTCCATGGTATATTTGAACCCATGGATCCAAGGAAATGGAAAGTCATGACAATTAGGGTTTACCCTAATTGTATAACTATATAAGCATCTTATTCTTGAGGAAAAATCGGCCACTAGTGAGAATAAGAGAGGGCTAGCCGATTTCATGAAGTGTAGAATTCTCTCTAAGTTATTCTAAGTGTTTTGATGATTGTGAACCATTTGAGGTGTCACACTTGGGGCACTAGGCACTCAAGCTTCATGAAGACAAGCACATCAAAGAGGTATGTATTCTATCTTGTTATATTGATATTTTGTATGCTAGATTAGGATAATACCTTGGATGTTCATATTTGCATGTATAATAGAGAAAACATAGATCCAAGGTATTTAGGGTTGCATGTACACTTAGGAGTGTTAGAATGCTCATAACCCAACAGTGGTATCAGAGCCTAGGCTTGTTTTCTTGTTATACCTGCAATAGAAGCTGAAAAAATCGAAATCGGTGTTGTCAGCCCAGCAGACTCGCCGAGTCCATGAAGGGACTCGACGAGTCCAAGGCAAAATGCATCCAACTCGCCGAGTTGTGTTCATGCACTCGACGAGTTGGACCCCAGACAGCATATTTTCGAGGTTTTTGGCTAGAAATGGACTAGGAACATTACCCTAAGTTGTTTTTGAACTTATAAACTTGTTTTTTAATGTGGTAATGTTCATGCTAATCCATTTTCAAAGATAATTGTCAATAGATTCATGTTTTGTATTAGTTTAAAGGTTAGACTAATTACATGAAAAAGTTTGATTTGAATTATCTTGTTCTTATGAGTTGCTTAGATTAATAGAAAAGTTAATTGAAATAGTTGTTTTCAATCCATTTTAATCTAAGAGTTGAGTATAAAATGTGTTTGTGTAACTTGTCCTCAAGTTACATGAAGAGTCACATTAAAGACTCATAAAACTCATAAAGTTGGCAAAGGTTACAAAAATGAAGAGTCTAGTTCTAATTAATTGGAGTTATGACTCCATAATTTGTCCTCAAGTTATGGAGGACCAAGAGTCTCTTCATTAAATAAATAAAAAAATAAAAAAAAATAATGTAACCTTAATTAATTCCATAAGTTATAAAATAAAGAAAAGTTAATTCTTTATTAGTTTAAAGTCTTCCATAATTTGTCCACAAGTTATGGAACTTGAAGAGTTTTTGGATTAAAACTACTTTAAACACATAAGTTATGGAATTAATTAGTTTTGAATAGTTTCAAAACTTGCCCTCAAGTTTTGGAATTTGTAAAGTTTTCTCTTATGAATACTTTAATTCCAAGTTAGCCCTTAGAATTTTAAAAGTTAAAATTCAACCCTTATACTTTATAATATTATAAGTCTAATATATATATATATATATATATATATATATATATATATATATATATATATAGAGTAAAGTCGGTCTTACCGCTAGTACGCCTCATTCACGAAGCCGGTCTATAAGGTGGGTATAAGGTTGTTGCCTATAAAATGGCAACTTAATGGGTGTCCACTCTCACCCACCGCTTGCTTGACTGGTGGAGGGTCGTTAGCCGAACGGGTTTGACAGGACTATAATTCTCCCTTCATTAAAAGTATTAATGATAAATACTAAGTAACTAAACTCTTAATAATACCCAATCTTAGTTACTTAGGAAAATGTGAATAAGGTGCTAATCCATGAAATTACACTTTGCACTTTGTTTAAGTCGGTTAGTGGAGCGTGTGTGGTTAACCGGCACACTAACTCGTATTTAACAAGGTAGGCAAAGGGTAACTTAATGTTTATCATAGTATCGATGGAGCGTGTGTGGTTAACCGGCACATCGATTGAGGGTAAACACTTAAGGGTACCAAGTAATTTGCATGGTTACTTCACACCTTGTTTTGTGATCCTCGGCATCCCAGTCACAAAACCTGAAGGGCACACTCGAGATTGAAACATGCCATTGAACAGTTCAATGAATCTCAAAAGATCTAGGAGTTTCAAAACCAATTAAAACCTAATAATACATTTCGTTTATCTTGGTGGAAATTGGTGAATCGTCATTCACCTACCTTCAAATTTTTTATAGCTTGGATTACGGCATACCTCTTCTAAGTTATAAAATAGTTTGTTGGGTCCTAGCCTTAATATTTCATATTGGGTGTCATATTAAGGACTTTAAGATCAACTATCTTGAATATCTCCCAAAACATGTCTGGTTTAGACATTTATGATCTTCCCAAATCTCTTGAAACAAGCTTTCCTAAATGAAGATGATGTCCCATGGAATCATACTTCTTTCATCCTCCAATTATTCTCCCTAACCCACAAGTTCTTGAAAAGTTTAAGGTCACTCAA